AACTTATTTTCCAACAATCGTACCCAAAATTCAATGAAACAAATAAATAAAAAACTCAGAAATATCTAGAATTATTCGATAATGGTATTGAAGTAGGCAGGTAATGGTGAGCTACTTGTTTGCAGACAAGGAAAGCAACTTGCATTCTATTTCCACAAAACAAAAAGGGAAATGGAGCAAGTTGAAAAGTTTCAACTTCAATTTACAACATCCATTATCCAAAATTAGTTACTGGATGATTAAGTAATACACCTGTTCAATTCCAACCACAGAAGGACCTCTATATAAATCGACCATGGCATACCAAACCCACAACTTATCCTTCCTTCTCCCTCTGCAATATTCATATACAAATTAAGCTTAGCCTATTGAGGTTCTAAAATCTGATCCGACCTACTTATTATATTTATAACAGAATGGCCAACACTATTGAAACTTCCTCATTGACTGAAAAGTGAAAAGCAAAACCTCATTTAAGGACCACAAAACAGAATCTGAATATGTAATACACAAAGACATCCTGAAAATACAAGTGTTGTGCACAAGAAAACAGCAAGCGTCATACACACACAACACACACACATAGTCAAATCTGAAAACTAGAATAAGCATAATTTACATATATACAACCATCACAATGAAGCAGAGGAAAGCCCTCTCTTGCGAAGAGTGATCAGAGCGCATGGAGGGACAATCTAATGACCTCCAGTCTTACGAAACACAGAAATGGTACTTAGCGCTAAAACACATTGATTATTTGAAGCTTCTCAAGTCTTTCACCCAAATGTTCCGAGGACGACAAATAAAACCGAAAATAGAGAGAATGAGAAACAACAAGAGTTTCATCGGACTTGAGAAATCATCATAGATCTTGCCTTAATTCTAGGGAAAAGCCATACATAGAAATTATCCAAACAGATCCACAATTCCTTCACCCAAATGTTCATGCATTCACCAAATTACTCCCACCTAAAGATTTAGGCTCTAATCAAATCCTATTATTCATGCATTCATCAAATCCTCCGCATCAACAAAAATAAAATTCGGAGAAGTAGACTTACGGTAGCCGGCGAAGTAACGAATGTCGTCAAGGTCGGATGATGGCTGGATGGGTGGTGGTGGTGCCGTTGAGTAGGTTGCGGCGGCGGTGATGGGCGTTCTCTTGAATGTCGTCAGAGTAGGGGTTCGAGGGATGGTGGAGAGGTGGGATTTTGAGACTTTGAGAGCGAGACTGAAAATCTAAAACTAATTCTGGAACCCTAGGTTAGAAATTAATGGTTTAGATTGCATGATAAGTTATCATTCAATTTCGACTGTTGATTATAATTAGAAACGGGTCGGTCCGGGGCTCGTTTTTCTAAGGTTTAGGAACCGGCCCGCCCCGTAAAAAACAAAGGCCCGGCCCGGCCTGTACTCGCCCCGATCTGTGGTTCCTCTACTCATTTGCCCACCCCTAATAGAGATTCAAATGTTATTCAATTATTATGATTTGCTGGTAATTGAAATGTCGCTTCTCATGTGTTCAGTAAACTAAAAGAGTTAGGAAAGTGGATCATAACATTAGCAAATACAAATTTTCATTAAAAAAAAACTTGCAGGAATAATCAGATCCATTAATTTTGAGTTTATTACAAATGAAAGAAAATACAACAGTCACTCTTCAATCTAAACCTTCAATTACGTACAAGCCAAACATTGTTTTGGAAGGGAAAAATATATATAAAACGGATTAAAACCACGCCAATATTTGAAGGCAAGATGACACGAGACTGAATAACGCATGAATGCAGCAACAGACAATGTTTAGTTGTAGGCATCCTGGTGCTCCAAGAGGTAGTTTTCAATCAGCTTGAAGAGGTGGGAGGCCTTCTCTTTGCCAGCATTAACATGCTCCTCCTTGATCATAACATCTCCCTTAGTGTGGTAGTGGTTGATGCTCTTGATGACGCAACCATTGCCGGAAGCCACCAACTTAGTCTCGTAGCAGATTTTCTCAATTGTTTTGGATATAGCATCTCCCTCAATTACACTGTACTTGTACACAAGGTTGTCCTTGTCAACTCCATCAATTCTATGCTTCACATATCTGTATGTGCTACCTTCACCGAAGTTGATCTTCTTAATGGTTCCAACGCCGTCATCTCCTTCAAGGATCTCAAGTGCTCTTCACTGCCTGTGGTGCAATCTTGGGGATGAGGTTGTCAGCATCAAGAACAAAAACATTGTACAACCTAGTGGGGGGGGGGATGACGGAGGAGAACTCGGATTCGTATGTGAAAACACCCATGATTCTGAGATGTGTTTGTGAAGTGGGAAAATAATCGACGAAGAGGAAGTCTAAGAAAGAAAGATGATGTATTGGGAGATTTTGAGTTGTGAAGAAGTGAGGAAGATGTATTGGTATTTATAGGCTGAGGCAGAAGGTGGATCAAAAGGTTTACGCAAGCTCCTAATTGTTTAATGGGTTTTATTCATCGTGGACGTGGGAACCATTACTTTTGTACAAGGAAATTTTGTATCGTAATCAAGGAAAGAACCATCTGGACATAGAATAAGAAATGGCCAATTACTCCACGAGATGGACTAACCTCAATTTTTTCTTGTGCTTACCAATTAGTGCTTTAGAGATCACACATCATATTTTCTAAAACAAAGATATATTTTTACACTAAGGGGTGTAGAAAATAAATTGGTGTTAAATTTGTAATTCACACGTTCGAACCTAAGTTATCTTATTTACAATTAAAGAAGAATATTATTAGACCGTAACACTAAGTAATTAGTGTTTTAGAGATCATATTCTCCCCCAACTTAACACTTTGTGTCCTGTGCTGTTATATTTACTGGACTTTTCAATAATCCGACTTTTGTTGACGTATTGTTGGAGTATCTCTAATCATATTGTCTATTAATACTTTATGTACATTCACAACGGGCATAGTCACGGGTAGCGGACATAAGGGCATCTGAAGAAGATAATATAGTAGGACTGTGTATTTGGATAATATTTGTTACAATTGAATATTCCAAATTTGGAGATGTGAAAAGCCAATGAAAAATGACTGCCAATCAAAAGTCGACGCATTGCAGCCAATGTTGAATTGCAGGTCAAGTCATTCCTAAATTGAACCTCTGGAAGTGCATATACTAGTCGTGAGGCAGTAGGGACAACAATAGAACTGTACATTACGAACTTGCATAAACTGGTTGATAATCTACAGGCACAGCTATGTGGTTGTGGTGCGACAGCTAACTCAGGATCGTTACTTGGTCCTGTGGGCAATTTCCAGACCTGCGAATGGGGCTGCGCACCGGATTGCGTGACATGGTCTTCATGAACAATGCTTTGATTTTTGGACTGATGTAGGCCCTCCTTGGCTTGTTGATATTTTAATTTCGGAGTCTATAACTACTTAAATGTTCTGTTGTTGTCTTTGTTGGCTTGCTCGGTCTCTTTTCTTTCACTGGAATTTTTCCCAAGTGGCTTTTTCAAGTAAGGTTTTTCAGAGACCCTCCGTCGAAGCTTACCCTTTGGACTATTGTATGTTCTGGCGTTTTTCTCGCCCTTGGTTATAAAATGTCACTCTTTTAAAACATTTTAATAAATTAAAACTTGTTCATATTTGTGGTTTGTGTTCAAATGTTTTGTTTTGGCTTTGTTTTGATTAATAGAAAAATAGTAATAAAACGTTACAATTGGAATCAAATTAAAAGATATATTGATATTTTTGTAATATTGTTCATGAAATATTAATGAAAGTCTTGATTCCAACCTGTAATAGTGTTGGCACAAATTATGATCGGTATGAACCTTTCAGAAATACTTTGAACAAGTTGCCCTTCTTAAAGTTTTGAGCTTCTTTTGGTCGGAAAGTTTAGTGAGCAAATTTAAAGGGACATCAAAAGATAAGTTTGGTTTTTCCTCTTTTCTTTTTTTTTTTTTTCTGGAAGAGGGATAATAAAGTGATGGTGGGCTCAAATTTAAATTTGCATCTATTTTTTAAAGCAAAACTACTTGTAAATCTTTTGAAAATGTAAATGGTGAAAGAACTTGAAGTTCTGCTATAAAACTAATTAATAATAGGATAATACTTGGATACTCACCGGAAAATATTCAATTTATTCACTCTCTTAAGTGACCTAATAAGATACAAATATGTGCCAATTTTAAACAATTTGATATACACACTAGTCCTGTAACCAAACATCCTTAACTACGTAACCAAACATCTGACTCCCATTACTCTCATCTCGATGTCGTTCTCTCCTCTCCCATGACCGTTCATCTTCGAACAAATGTTGTTGTCGAAGAGAACGATTTCAGGTGGCGTCGTCGGAAAAGAGAGACTTTGGGGGGTGTGTTGGAGAAGAGTAGGGTTAGGATGGGCTCACTTGAGAAGAAATAAGCATGCATGTGTACAATGGAACTAAATTCGCGCCATAGAGTCGATTAAATAATGTACAAATATTAACTTGACTGGTTGCTTACTAATATTCGGGCTCTTTCAAATAAGTCCGCTCTTAATTAATATTATGTCGAAGTTTCAGAAACACTAATGTGACGACATTCTAAACCAATCATGCGACCCTATTTGAATAAAACACTTGGGAACGAGCAACATTGTAGTTTCATCGGAGTCCTTATGTTGATCAAAGAGTTCAGAACTTCAGATAAGAAATGAATCATAAAGGGAACTTAGATTTATTCTAGTCCAAAAAGATATTATTGAGTCAGTAGTCAACAGAATTAACACACCAGCTCTGCTGTAATATTCCGATCATCTCGTGTTAGAACATTCTATTAAAAAAATTCCACATTATTAATTAGCACACCAGCTAGTTGTATTAAGTTGGAATATACAAAATCAACTTCTAGAGGTGCCTTTCGTTGAATAAAATGTTCACAATGGGAAACTAAATACTGTCCAATTTTCTCTATCCATAGGGGTTCACATTACACAACAGCCCCTCACCAATAACCTATAAATACCACCTCCATATCTTCCACCATCAAATACCTTCATTATCAATTTCTCTTTTCTTCCTTCACATTTCATTCTTACTTTGATCAGTTTCTAAGCTCTCAATCATCACCATGGGTGTCTTCACATATGAAACTGAATTCGCCTCAGTCTGCGCTCCTGCTAGGTTGTACAATGCTCTTGTTCTTGATGCTGACAACCTTATCCCAAAGATTGCTCCACAAGCAGTTAAAACTGCTGAAATTCTTGAGGGAGATGGAGGTGTTGGAACCATCAAGAAGATAAGTTTTGGTGAAGGAAGTGAATACAGCTATGTGAAGCACAAGGTTGATGGAATTGACAAGGATAACTTTGTCTACAACTACAGTTTGATTGAAGGAGATGTCATTTCTGATAAGATTGAGAAGATCTCTTATGAGACTAAGTTGGTGGCTTCCGGCAGCGGTTCCATCATCAAAAGCACTAGCCACTACCACACCAATGGAGATATTGAGATTAAGGAAGAGCATGTTAAGGTTGGGAAAGAAAGGGCCCATGGTTTGTTCAAGCTCATTGAGAACTACCTTGTGGCCAACCCTGATGCCTATAACTAAAACCATAGATCTACATATGATTCTGCATGCTAAAAGTAGGGAAACAAATTTTCTGTCCTCTCCTTTTTTTTTTTTCTGTTTATTCAGCCGTGTGGCTTTCGTTTTTTCTTTTGCTCATACAAAAGCAGTATTTATTTGCAATATGGAGTTATGATTCAAGTGTAATATTGTATTTGATTTTAATCTCAAAAAATGAAACAACATTCGATTACTTTTATACAAAGAACAATCACCTAATTCTTTTTAGTTAGTTTATGATTGAATATCATATCAAATTCATAGATATTCGGGTTATATTGTTTGCAACGTAACCACCACCATCAAAGTTTTAAAAATGTAACTGTAGATTCAATATCACCTATAAACGTAACATCAATCTTCATTTTCTACAAGAATGTCATCTTTTTTGTCTATAACGTACCATTTTTTTTATAATTATGCAAATTTGAAATATTGTATAACCAGTTCCATTACCATACTTTTGAAAGCTCTCATAATGATATTATGTGGAGAATGCACTAATTTACATCCAAAAATTGTCTTGGCAGAGACAACATTACCTTACAATGCATACCATGGGTTTATTGAAAGGCCTATGTGGGGAATTTCATTGTTTGGTTCTGTTGGTTGATCAGGTACGTTTGGTTATATTTTGTAAATAACAATTAGGTACGTTGTACTAGTTTAGGTCCGAAGTTTTGTAGGGTCTATTATGTTGTGACTTCAATTTGGTTCGTTATATAGTTTAGGTCCCATAAATTCGGTACGACCAATTTGGTACGGCTCATATGTTTTATGTTTTAGTTCATTAGGTCTGGTAAATTCGGTACGATCAATTTGGTATGGTTCATATTTTTTATGTTTTAGTTCATTAGATCTAGTATATTTGGTATAGTTTGTATTTTTCATGTTTTAGTTCATTAGGTTCAGTAGATTCGCTACAGTCAATTTGGTGCGTATGTAATTTTTATGTTTTAGTTCATTAGGTCCGATATTTTTACATTATTGATTCGTTTGGCCTCAGACATTAGTTATGATTTGAAAAACCTAATGCTTTTCTTCTTTTTTTTATATGTTTGAACCCCTAAAATAAATGGCACTTAGTATGATTGTCTAGCTAGTGGTATTTCTCTTCACTTGTAAGTGAGATCTCTTAGGTTCGATTCTCACCAAAGATAAATTTGAAGCACATTATTACTAGCTCAATGTGAGGCTTAGCTCGATCTCTTAACTCCTTACTGTAGATAATATCATTTGTCAATAAAAAACAATTAAGGTAAGGTTTGGTACTACTTAAATTATTTTAAAAGCATGGATAAAAATCGTTCGAGTAAAATTTGTGTTTGGTAAGTTTGCTTATTTACAAAGTCACGGGTCATTTTAAGCAGAAAAGTAGCAAAACGAGAGGGGGGAACATAAACATGATTCTTCTTGAAAACAAAACTAGAAATACAAGAAAAAGAGGGAAGTGATATAGGGCCTAACCCCCCAAAAAGGTATAAACCTGCAAAACAAGCTTTGAAACGCCAAAAGAAATAGGTGAAATATAAAAATAAAATCACACGTTAGGATAGCAGACCTAACATGTATGGCGTGATGTACATTAATTTAAAAATCGAAAATAAGATTAGCTAAGAAAATTCGTGTGCAAGAAGCAAGAGCCGCGGATGAAGATGAGTCATGACAGATGAGGCAAGCTCTTAAATCATCATCATGGGTATGTTTAACTCATGGGCGTATTTATGGTATGAATTACCAAATGGTTTACAAGGAAAACGAAATCAGAGTTTTCATTTCATCACTTTATGCTATTATGTGGTAGAGATTCAAATGTTATTCAATTATTATGATTTGCTGGTAATTGAAATGTCGCTTCTCATGTGTTAAGTAAACTAAAGCAGTTAGGAAAATGGAACTTAACATTAGTAACTACAATTTTGCATTAAAAAAAAAAAAAAAAAAAAAAAAACAAGAACAACAACAACATGCATGAATAATCAGATCCGCTATTCAATCTTCAATCAAAACCTTCAATTACGTACAAGCCAAACTCTGTTTTGGAAGGGAAAAAGATATATAAAACGGATTAAAACCACAACAATATTTGATGGCAAAGATGACACGAGACTAAATAACACATGAATGTAGCAGCAGATAATGTTTAGTTGTAGGCATCCTGGTGCTCCAAGAGGTAGTTCTCAATCAGCTTGAAGAGGTGGGAGGCCTTCTCTTTGCCAACCTTAACATGCTCCTCCTTGATCTCAACATCTCCCTTAGTGTGGTAGTGGCTGGTACTCTTGATGACACAACCATTGCCGGAAGCCACCAACTTAGTCTCGTAGCAAATTTTCTCAATTGTTTCGGAGATAGCATCTCCCTCAATCACACTGTATTTGTACACAACGTTGTCCTTGTCAACTCCATCGATTCTGTGCTTGACATAGCTGTATGTGCTACCTTCGCCGAAGTTGATCTTCTTAATGGTTCCAACTCCGCCATCTCCTTCAAGGATTTCAGTGCTCTTCACTGCCTATGGTGCAATCTTGGGGATGAGGCTGTCAGCATCAAGAACAAAGGCATTGTACAACCTAATGGGGGGGGGGGATGACGGAGGTGAACTCGGAATCGTATGTGAAAACACCTATGATTCTGAGATGTGTTTGTGAAGTGGGAAAATAATCGATGAAGAGGAAGACTAAGAAAGAAAGAAAGGATGTATTGGGAGATTTTGAGTTGTGAAGAAGTGAGGAGGATGTATTGGTAGTTATCGGCTGAGGCAGAAAGTGGATCAAAAGGTTTACGCAAGCTCTTAATTGTTTAATGGGTTTTATTCATCGTGGACGTGGGAACCATTACTTTTGTACAAGGAAATTTTGTAGTGTAATCAAGGAAAAGGACCATCTGGAAATTGAATAAGAAATGGAAAATTACTCCACGAGGTGGACTAACCTCAATCTTTTCTTGTGCTTACCGATTAGTGCTTTAGAGATCACGCATCATTTTTCTTAAAACCAAGATATATTTTTATATTAAAGAATACCACTAGACCGAAAAGTAATTAGTATTTTAGAGGTAATATTCTCTCCCAACTTAACACTTTGTGTTTTGCGTTGTTATATTTACTGGACTTTTCAATAATCCAATTTTTGTTGACGTATTGTTGGAGTATCTCTAATCATGTTGTCTATTAGTATACTTTATATACATCCACAACTGGCATAGTCACGGGCTGCGGACATAAGGGCATCTGAAGAAGATAATATATAGTAGGACTGTGTATTTGGATAATATTTGTTACAATTGAATATTTTGGAGATGTGAAAGCCAAATGACGGCCAATCAAAAGTCGACGCATTGCAGCCAATGTTGAATTGCAGGTCAAGTCATTCCTAAATTGAACTTCTGGAAGTGCATATAGTAGTCGTGAGGCCGTAGGGACAAAAGCAGAATTGTATACCAACTTGCATAAACTGGTTGATAATCTACCGGCACAGCTATGTGGATGTGGTGCGACGGCTAACTCAGGATCGTTACGCCATCTCTAATCGAACGGGGCAAATGGTCATGTTTAGCCCTATAGCCCTGTAAGAAATTATTTTTTAATGAACAGTGTCAAACTATATTTTATACAATCTCCAACCGAATGGGCCATAAGGCCATAAGCCAAAACATAGCTCTTTGACAAAAAAACTCATCTCCAACCAAAAGGGGGCTATTTTTTAGCCCCCTCAATGGTTGCAGGCCAAACAAATGAGAAATAGAGCCCAACAAGCTTTCCGATTTTCTGTCCGCTTTTTAGAATACTGGTTTGATAGATTCGGTACGATCAATTTGTTACTGTTAATATTTTTTATGTTTTAGTTCATTAGGTCATGTAGATTAGGTACAGTCAATTTGGTACGGTATGTATTTTTATGTTTTAGTTCATTAGGTCTGATAGATTTGGTACGGTCAATTTGGTACAATTTGAAATTTTTATGTTTTAGTTCATTAGGTTTGGTAAATTCGGTTTGATCAATTTGGTACGGTTTGTAATTTTTATGTTTTTGTTCATTAAGTCCGATAATTTTTGCGTTATTGATTCGTTAGGGCTCAGACATTAGTTGTGATTTGTAAAACCTGATGCTTTTCAATTTTATTTTATGTTTGAACACCTAAAACAATTGTACCTAATAGTAATATAGCCAAACTAAAAATACAATAAATGTCACTTACTATGGTTTAGTGGTATTCCCTCACTCGTAAGTGAGAGGTCTTAGGTTCAATTCTTGCCAAAAGCGAATTTTTACCACATTATTGCTAGCCCATTGTTAGGCTTAGCTCAATCCTCCACTCCTATAGTGTAGGTAATATCGTTTGTTAAAAAAAAAATCATAAAAAAAAAATTAAGGTAAGGTTTGGTACTACTTAAATTATTTTAAAAGTGGGGATGAAAAAAAAGTTTGAGTAAAATTTGTGTTTGATAAGTCTGCTTATTTGCAAAGTCACGGGTCATTTTAAGCGGGATGAAAAGAAGTTCGAGTAAAATTTGTGTTTGATAAGTCTGCTTATTTACAATGTCACATGTCATTTGAAGCTGAAAAGTAGCAAAAGCAAAACTTTTTTTTTTTTCAATATGGGACGTGACAAAATTACTTATAAACTCATGCAAAAGTCCTTCATTTCTCTGATGTGGGATTGATACGCTCAACACGCCCGCATTACGTGTAACGCATTTTCAAGCCTAAACTTGGACAGCACAAATGGGGAGATATGGAGCACATGTGGCCATTGAGCTTCAAATGCGGGACAACTTGCTCTGGTACCATGAAGAAACTTGAGGTTCCACAAAAAAAAAAAACAATTGGAAATATGGGGAATTGCCTAATTACTATAAGCACATGCAAGGTCCTATTTTTCATGATGTGAGATTGATACTCTCAACACTTTTTTGTATAGTATGTATGATATTCTATAGTATGCATTTATAAGAACTTACAATTATCAATAACATCATTTTATCTAACCCTACGTTTGAAATCTTTAACTGTAAAATTGTTGTAAAGGTGTTATGTATATGTAACAAAAAATTGGTTTGAAATCTTTAACCATTCAGTATAGGCTTTTCTTTTTGGTGCACCTTTCATTACTGGGGACCAAGGGAAGGCAACCTGAAAAAGAATGAAGTTGATCACTTCCTCTTAGATTTTCCGTTTTTCCAATTCAAATGGA